CCTAATGAAAAAATAAAATTATTTCTTTGAAAAATGTCAATAACTCAAAAACTACCGGATATAAAAGCATACAGAATGTTAATAAAAGTGTCCCTAAAATTCAAATCTACATTCATTAGGAATAGTAGTTGCAAATTGACAAACTGAAGTTTTTGAAATTTCTTTATTGCTAGCTTTGAAAAATTGCAGCAGCCCTGGAAACCGACTTTCGGCGGCCATTCAAAAAAATCCTTAGATTTTATGAATTCGATTATAAAAAAGAGCACTCCGTTATCTTGAACGTTTTCAGAGATATGAAGTTTTGAATGGTCCCTTGCATCTGCAACTAAAAATCAAAACTGGCAGATAGGTACGTGAATTTTAAATGGATTGAATTCAGAAATAAAATGGTGCATTTAAAAAAAATAGAAAATGATGTTTCTATTTAAAAAAAAATAAAATAGTAGTCCGTTATTTTTAGGAATTTGCATATTGATTTTTGAAGTAGGTATAATTTTTCCTGAAGGAATCGACCAATGAGAATTATTTGCATGAACAGATTTGTATTTCAATTATAGATAAGGTTCAGATCCAAGCAAATGATTTGGATAATTTGATTGAGATTTAATTTCAGTAGTTGGTTGGATTAAAATTTTGTTTCGTATTCAAGGTGTGGGTGTATTTTGAACAGGAGAATCAATCCAAGAATTTATCATGTGGGAAATATTTAGATAAGGATCAAATTTAGCTTTACTTAGTATATTCAATCTACTAGTGTCATACGCGTATTTATCGCAGTTCAATAAAACCAAAGCGTTAGATTTTGAATTTCAGATTTGAAAAAGGAATAAGACGCCCAAAATCTCACAAGATAAGGGGTATAAAAACATTTTTATTATTGAGCTAGCCGTGGGAACTGTAAAAATTGATTGTCAAATTCAGATTTTTGCCAGTGCCGTAGAAGTCCAATTTTATTATGTTACGAAATCCATTACAGGGTGTGTCTAAGATGTTTCTCGGGTACATTAAACTTTATTGATTGATGTAATGTGTGAGTAAAATTATGCATTTTTCTATTAAATTGAGTTTATTCAGTATTCCCACAACAATAATAATTTAATAATAGCAACTGACAGTGTAAACAACATACATAGTGCTATTGTTTCGCTCACAGCACTCTAAAAACTGAATCCATATCAACTTGTTTCGTTCATAGCACACTTACTTTAGCTAGGTATAATGAAATGCATTTTTCTCATAAAAATTGTTATCTAAGGGTATACAAATATTATATCACTGAGTAAGAATAAAATTCTCTATCGATTAAGGAAATAAAAAGGGATATAGTTCCATTTAAAATAACAAAGTTGGTACCCACAGTTTGTAAAATACAAAGAACACCCTGTATACGAAAAACGAATGAAACATCTTATTCTATGCATTCAATTTAAGTGATTAGTCAATTTTGGCGTTCAGCGAGAAACTCAATTACCCAAATGAGACCAATCGGCGATGTTATTTGAAAAAAGAAACTTCAGAAATGAAAATGACACGATCGAGTCCATTTTAGGAAAAAACTAAAACGGTTTTTAAATGTAATATAAAAAGTCGGAAAAACTCATTAATATTTAATTACTAAGGAAGCATCCGAAATTATTTTCAATTAATCTTGATGGACGTAACCACGTCTTTGGGATTTCACTTTTAGAAAACGAAACAGAATTTAAATTTTAATTGGAAAAAATTAGCAAGAGTGGAGTCATTTACGTGCACGTAACAGTGTTTTACTGTGTTTTCCGTTTTCGAGTTGCTGAATGGTTTCGACATCGTGCACATCCACCAGCTTCCTGAACGTATTTAACGCTCTAAAAATACAGTAGCCTTTCACTATGTGGCACAACAAAAAATCTTAGTGGGTCCCATTGAAACGGTGGTAACGACCGTTTAAGTGTACATAAACATTTATCGTACGTACACGCAGCTGTTTAATAACTGTACCAGTTTGCAGAGGGAAACGGTCAACAAACTATGTGGACCATCGTCACTGCGTTTGGTCAGTGGGCGATCGCGTGGCCTTCGTACGTCCCCCGCGATGGTGCCATTTCCCCGAACGATCTAAATTACGTAAAACACGCCCACGCGAAAATGCTTATTTCAATCTCGGCTTATGCAACGGACATTTTTACATCCTTTCGGACAACGAAAATGACCCAACAAGCTCGGGAGCCTCGTTTTGGTTTCTTTCGCCAATTTAAATAGCGTAAACCTGATCATGGGAAATCGGTGACACGTAACAAACCGGGCCTTCGAAAATGCAATGGGAATTCGGAGTTGAAATTTGGCAAAGTTGCTAAATTGGGGTTGGAGATTAAACTTCATGATCGTTGTCGAGGGTAAAGGCAGGGTAGATTAAGGGATTGTGTTTGGTTTTTGTCTCAAATTTATCTCTCAATATAAAAAATGGATTTTATTAGAAACCGCTCAAAGCAAAAATTGATCACTTGAACGGCGAAGTTGATCAATTAGGGGTAGTTTACGTTTTATGATCGTTATCCATGGTTAAGGTAAGTTCTTATAGAACGTGGCCTGTAGAATCCATAATTTCAAACAGTTCCAAGATTGGGCTATTAGTTCAAAAGTTACAGCCTTTTGAATTTTTTTTCGAAATTGGTTTCTAGTCTATAACTTTTGATTGAGAAGTCTGATCGAAAAAGTACGAATTGTTTTGGATTCTACGCACCAAAATTATTAAGAAAAAGTGTTTTCCCAAGAAATTTTGGTGCAGTCGATTTTTGGAAAAAAGGAAGGTTGCCTTTTTTTTTGCCCCGAAGAAAAAATTGTCTCAGATCGTCCCGGAAAAAAATTTTTCTTATAGAACGTGGCCTGTAGAATCCATAATTTCACAAACAGTTCCAAGATTGGGCTACTAGTTCAAAAGTTACAGCCCTTTGAATTTTCTTTCGAAATTAGTTCTACTTAGTCTTCAACTTTTGATTGAGAAGTCGGATCGAAAAAGTACGAATTATTTTGGATTCTACGCACCAAAATTAATAAGAAAAAGTGTTTTTCCGGTAATACACTGCCTTTTTTTTGCCCCGAAGAAAAAATTTTCCCAGATCGTCCCGGAAAAAATTTGTTCTTATAGAACGTGGTTGGAAATTAAATTTCATGATCGTTGTCGAGGGTAAAGGCAGGGTAGATTAAGGGATTGTGTTTGGTTTTTGTCTCAAATTTATCTCTCAATATAAAAAATCGATTTTATTAAAAACCACTCAAAGCAAAAATTGATAATTGAAAGACGCAGCTAGAGACAACGTTGGTAAAAAAAGGGGTCGGGGTGGTTTACGCGTTATGATCGTTGTCAGTGGTGTACGTAGAGTAGATTAAGGGATTGTGTTTGATTTACGTTAAAAATTTGGCCCCCAATATCAAAAATGAATTTCAATAAAAACCGAACAGAGCAAAAGTTACCCTCGACTTACCCTATAAAAGCCAAGTTGGTAAATTAGGGGTTGGGGTAGTTTACGTTCTACGGTCGTTTTCGAGGGGTAAAGTAGGGTAGATTAAGGGATTGTGTTTGGTTTTGGCTAAATTTCGCTCTCAATACCCAAAAATGGATTTCATTAGCTTGGTATCCGCTGCCTTGATACAATAAACAAAACAAAATCTCTATGAATCCATGGCCTACTATTTAAAAAAAATCAGTTGTAATCGGGATCAAGAATGAAAAAATTGACGTTAAGATATACAGGGTGTTACTTAAAAAATACTAACATTGGGTCAAATCAAAATAGGACAAATAGTACTTTTAGTTGGTAAATTACTAGTTGTAATTGTGTTCATTCTCTTTGTCTCGCTTTTTGAAAGCGCTTTAAAAAACTTTCCTATAAATTAAAAAAATTCCCGAAATCCTTTTCAAGGTTCTGTTTTGAAGTCGAAATTGTCAGCCATTATTTTAATCATCCTGGGAATTTGCTTAATACAAGACGACTAAAAATCTGTTCAGAAAACGTTTTTTGAAATTTCTTAGAAATGCTTTTCACAAAAAAAAAGCACAGAAATAAATATAAAAAAATGCAATACCTATATCTGCCAGCATCCCCCTAAGTCTATTTGGATCAAGTGATAAATTATGAAAGCCCCCCCCCCCTCCTTCAAAATTTTTCTTGGTGGCCACCTTCAATATTATTTGTCTGGTAGACAGAGGATGCAAGGAGTAGGCGCCGTCAATGACTCAGCCAAGCTTATCTTATCGCTGCGTTTTATTGACACAGATGTTTTATTTCAAGCCTAATCTGAAATTTGACCCTTGACGACCCCGTACTACAATTATGAATGAATTGTTGTTGTACGTAGACAATAACATAAACAGTTCAAGAATATACCAATGCAATTTTATTTATTTGTTAATACAATACTAACATTAACGTTTATTTTACATACAGGGTGTCCAACGATGAGATGAGTCGATTTATTATTTCAAAAATTTGTACGTAAAGGTCATTAAATGCCCCAGTTTCATCTAAAATATTTTCAATTTTATACTATTTTCGAATTCACAGACAGTTTTTAGAAAATGTGAGTAACTTTTGTAGTGCAAGCGACACTAACAAATTATTTTCAAGATTTGTGTAGAGAAAACCCAATATGTAACAATTTCTACAGGGTGCTCAAGAATTTAGGCCAAAGCTCAAGAGTCAGCCATTGTAACATTTTTAATTATCAGCTTTGGCACACTTCATGTAATGTTAATTAAATAAGGGAAAAAGCCTCGGAAAAAGCAGCTAAACAGAAAGCTAACGCTTTTCTACTATGTACTCTAAGCATAGGCGTGCCAGAAAGATTTAAAATAATTCAATAGCATGCGTTTATACAGGGTGTCATAATCCAAAATGTCTGCTGTAATCGACACCCAGTAAACACGTGTGTGGTAAAGGACAAGCATTTATTAGTGATTCTAATGTAGCATGACCATTTTATTGAAAACGCATGCATTTTTACGACACCAAACTAAAGCTTACCCAAATTTTTCCATTCCTCATCGTCAACCATATCTACGACATAAAATAATGTAGTATCATATTGGAGTGAAGATGAAGGTGATGAAAAAAACATTTTTAATACTGTATACGGTTTTCATTATAAATAGACAGTTATTGTATATAGCGCTACAATTCTTTGTATATCAGAGCGAGCCGAGGCGGCGCAGCAGCCAAAGTTTGTTAGGGTGAAGAAAGCAATGCACGATGCTGTTGAACCGACATGAAAGAAATTTTACATTTTTTTTTAAGTACATAGTTTATTTCTCATGTTGTGCAGTGTGTTAACAAACTTAAATAGAAGTGTTCAAATGTCTTGTGTCCTTAACTGTTCTTGGACCGTTTTAGCGTTTTGAAAAGCCTTCTTCAATTTTGTGATCAACAGAAACAATTGAAAGTTTCATCAACTTTTGGAATATGATCAACTGGGAGAAATGGCGAGTTTTCGAGATCTTCTGATTTGATGCGAGATTTGATGTTACTGGAATATGTTTATACATAACTCCATCTTCAGAAGAAACAACAGCAAAAATGCAAGAAAATGTAAAAAAAATTGAAATGTAGGACAATAACAATGGAATTCCTATATTAAAAAAAATATGCCATGGCACTTGGTGGCGGTATAAGGCAGAATAGCTGTCGCGTGTTGCTTGATCTCAGGAGAATGAATCTGCTTCATGAAACGAAGGATCAAGCTCAAAACATATGATTCACGTTCACGTTCCAGAACTACCTGTAATATTTAAAAAATCCACTTAAACCACAAAGTAAGGAGACCATGAATGAATGACGAATGATGCAGCCCCTAAAAGTTTGCGTACTTGTGTCGTCAAATGTTTGGTAGTTCCCTTGCGTCTACGACAAGAAATTGGGTCAGTCCCTGTGGGGCATCGACACCTGAAATGGACCAACGCGAATTCGAGGCCCAATAAAGCACAATTACACCGATGACGCAAGCGATTTTATCCAGTGAAAGATAAACCCGGATGCTGAACAATAAAGTAATAAACTGTAATTAGGGACATGATTCCTCGTTATTCAATCGGGAAATTTTGCTCGGGATACAAAGGAGTCTGGATACGTACGTACTTTCGGAAAATCTCTGGGGGGTACGCGATTGTAATAAAGTGCATAACAAATTTAAACAAACTTTTTACTGTTTTTATTTTTCTTTCATTATTATTCTTTTCCTTGCATCAACCTAACGAAGAACGAGCGATAACCTTCTTCCTAATAGACAGGAACTGTTATTATTAAGTTATAAACTTTGATAACTGATAAAAATTTGAACCCGAAAATAAACATAACCTAATTTATGCGGAAAAAAACACAAATTTGGAGTGAAACGTAAAAAATGAAAAGGCGGCTTGGAGGGCCGTAATTAAAGCGAGGTAAAACGCAAATGCGAATAATTAACGCATAAAAGTGTAAGTATAAAATAACTTACCATCCTTCGCATTCCTGGCCTGCGTGGCGGGGGCTCCGCTAGTGTGACTCTTGTCAACTGTACAATACATAATCACATAAGTTAGTGCTATCACAAAAGTCACTCTCACCGAATTAAATGAGTCATTATAGCTATTTACAGGTCGTTTTTACGCGAATCAAAAAAACCTACAACTGCACAATATCAAAATTCTGCAGCCATTATTATTTTTTGCGATGGCGCGAGTTTGTCCACAGATGGCGCTCGTTCGAATTAAATTTTAAATGTGACACTTTGTTTCCGGCTAACGTCACCGCCTTGTGACAAAATGCCAAGTTTCACATTTTAGAATGTCCAAAAGCGAGGAACGAGGACTCCTCGATCCCGGCGAGAAGACCAAAGTGCAAATTATATGCTTCAACATCTCCAAGTACCACGAAAGCACCCAGTTCTTCATCAGCTGCGTTGCGGTGTTCATCTTCTTCATCCTCTATGGCTACATGCAAGAGCTCATCTTCACCCTCGACGGCTTTAAGCCCTTCGGCTGGTACCTGACCCTGATCCAATTCGGCTACTACACACTCTTCGGAATGCTCGAAAAGGCTGTCAAACAAGAGGGCACCCGCAGGTACCTAACCTCACTTACTCCCCGACTACAACTCACAACTTTCAGGATGCCGATGCCGGTTTACTTCTTCCTCGCTTTACTAACGCTAGGCACTATTGGTCTCTCGAACTCCTCGCTGCAGTACCTCAACTATCCGACGCAAGTCATCTTCAAGTGCTGCAAACTAATCCCCGTACTAATCGGCAGCATACTAATACAAGGGAAACGGTATGGACCTCTCGATTTCGGCGCGGCAATCTTGATGTGTGTCGGATTAACACTGTTCACTTTAGCCGACTCGAAGGTATCGCCGAATTTTAACACAAAGGGCGTGATCATAATCTCTCTAGCACTCCTTTGCGACGCGATCATCGGTAACGTGCAGGAGAAAAATATGAAGCTTTACAATGCGTCGACGACGGAAGTTGTCTTGTACTCGTACTCGATCGGATTTATTTATATATTTACAATTATGCTACTAACGGGTGATTTGTTGGCTGGGATACAATTTTGTGCACAAGTACCGGCTGATTTACGTGCGATAATCCGTAGCTAAGACCTTTGCTTTCAGTTCCCGATGAAGACCTATGGGTACGCTTTGATATTCTCCCTTACTGGGTATTTGGGGATACAAATTGTGCTGACCCTCGTCCAAACTTGTGGAGCTTTCGTGGCGGTCACAGTTACAACGTGTCGTAAAGCAGTTACGATTATTATATCTTTCATGCTGTTCGCAAAACCGTTTACCTTCCAGTAAGTGGTACTGGAGAACTGTTATAAGCCTTGATGTAAATGTTGCAGATACATTTGGTCGGGACTGTTGGTCGTACTGGGGATTTATTTAAACCTGTACAGCAAAAGGCATCCATTTTCATTTACAGATTTGGAAAACAAGGTAGAGAAATGGGTCCTATACTTTAGGCAAAAGCCGTATACGAGGATCAAGGGACGCATGATGACTGATGTTTAAAGATCCTCAAATAGAATTTTTTTAACTGTGATTATCTGTATTGTATAGTGAATTTGTGGAATTAAATTAAACTTAGCTAAGTGTCAGAGAAATTATTTTACTCTAAAGTTGAGTTAACAAAAAAGCCCAATTATTTTAGAAAAGTTTTAGGGTTCTGATCGCTGAAAAACTGAAATTTAGTCTCTTACGGGCAAAGTAGCACTAAATGCAAGATTTTGGGCTGAAGAAGAAGAGAAGAACCAACTTGAGAAATTCAGACTACAGGAGCTACATTCTTAAATTTTATGTAGCCAACTTGATTTTCTTACTACAGTTCAGAATTATGATTCAATGCTACAGTGGAAAATACCTAATTTGCAGGCTTTAGGATTTTGATAGTTTTAAACAATCTTAAATTTATTTACACTACCTATTAATGATATAATAGTAATAAAATCAAAATTTTGGCCTTATAAAGCCGTAAATGTACAATAATTTTAAAAATTCCCCAGCTTCAGATTCTTAATTTTATGCAAAAACCGTAATTTGAAAGCTCTAGGATTCTAATAGTTTGAATAAATTTGAAATTTGTCTCTTAATGCTAAAACATCCATAAATTCAGCCTCCAGAAGCTCCATAGGAATGTGGGCAATTTAAGTCACCTTGGTATGGTGTATCACGGCATGGAATACATGGCGGTAGGCAACCAACATTACACGCGACAAACTGGAGCTGTTTTTATAGTTACCACCCTTATACATGCTTATACCATATTAATATATCACAGGTAATACTTCAATCTTATCATCTTTACTATACATTTTTGTGTTAAAAAATCACAATTTGACGCTAATAATAAAAATAAAGACTAATAGCTAACCCTAATTTGACATTAAATAGTCAAGTTACTGTTTCCACAGCACTCATTGAAATCCTCAGGGCTCAGAGTAAGAATTTTTAGTTTTAGGGCCTTAAAAAATCAGAAGTAAAACAACCACAATTCAAGATTTTGATTGTTGCTTATAAAGCACACTAAATGTACCAGGGGCGGACTGGGTACTTACGGGCCAGGTGGAATTGCATAGGTTACGGGCCATTAAAGTATTAGTGTAATGAAGATTGGGGGTGGGGGGAGCTCTGCGGTGCACCTTGTTTCATTTTAAAGTATTCCTTTCTCGAAAATCAATTAGAATATACTTAGTTTTTTTAAAAATTGCCTAGCTGATAATTAAAAGTAACAAAATATACAAACGAGGCGAGTCGCCTATAATTGTGTTTCAGCACTTTCAAAATACGAGAAAAAATGATAAATTCATTGTAAAACACTTTTTTAATGAACAACCTAACATCAACCGCAATGAGAGAAACGTGTTAGTAATTTATTAATAGCGCAAGAAACTAAATACAGCACATACTTATACATTTCCAACGGGCCAATATGATCTACAGGCCAGGTGGCAATCGCCACCCCCCCCCCCCCCCCCCCCAGTCCGCCCCTGATGTACAGAGACTCCACAGGAGCCCAACTAACTTTATTTACAGGCTGCATTCTTAAATTTTATGTAACTACCTTTACATTATTTTTTGAATTTCCGACGGAAAAGACTGCATTTGGAAACGTCAAGATTCTAGAGGATTTAAAACAATTTTAAATTTTCTATAACCACAATAACTCGTTGATTTTCTAAATTTATATAAAACAAAAATGTCGAATTTGGATCTTTAGGATTCTTATAACTTTAAAAAAGTCTAGAATTTGTGCCATAAATTCCAGATTTTGGCGTTGTAAAGCCCTAAAAATGTACCAAGAATTTTAGAAATTCGGATTCTCGTCACAGACCCCGTGGTTTTTTGAATTTACGGCGGAAAATATCATAATTTTAATGGCTTTAAAAAATCTCAATTTTTCTCTCTTGATGACTTTAAGACCCCATAGGAACCCCAACTCTACATTTTCCACTTTTATGTGTCCACCAACCTCATGATTTTGTGAATTTACGACGCAAGATAATTGATTTCGTGATTTGCAAGCTTTTGGAATTCCAATGCCCTTAAGAAATTTGAAATGAATGGCGAAACTGCCCTAAACCCAAGATTTTAGCCTTATACAGCCTACCCTAGGTCGCAAGAAAAGTGAAGATCATCACCGATAATAGAAAAATAATTTTCGGTGAACGTTCAAAATAAGTAAAATAGGGTTTTCGCCCTAAGGCGAGTAACTTCAGCGCATTTTTCAGTCCTCACCAAAAGGCCATACCTATGCGCGCTATATTTCTCTTTACTAGAACCATCAATGTTTAAAATTTCAAAAAAATGTTCCATAAATAAAAAACGTTGGCGTTACGCAGTCTGCGCATGTCTGATTTTACAATATGCGATATGGCCTTTACTAAAAGCATCTGAGGTTAAAATTTCAACATAATATATTAATAAATACCTTAATTTATTGTCCCTATCTTGTTCTGAACCCTCAATATCAAGCTTATTCGCCCAATTAGAGAGCATAATGCTTTTTAGAGGTGCCCCTGCAGAAGTGACGTTGTAATTTAAATAGACATGAATTTAAGTTCTTTTTGTTAGTATCACCTACTTCGTAATTAAATTTAATAAAGTATAATTTAAGCAAAATGGAAACCCAGATCTGATTTAGCTCCCAGTAAATCTTCTGCATCTGAAGAAAATTTGTGTAATGATTTCTCTATGAATTCGAAAGTGAAGATATGAAGTTATTCCAACAAAGTTTTATTCTTGCAAAAATGTTAATAAAGGAATACAAACTGAAGATTTTCTTCTCGTACAATTGGAAGACGAAAAAAGATCAACCAGATAGTTTATTGCACAAGTCAAAGAAAACACGAATGCCGTTCATGGAGTAAAGATGCATTTTATGGGGCAATATCGCAGAAACAGCACCAACTATATCTACTCGTATTTCCCGATATTCCCTATGAAAGTCATGTGTACCAGAAGGCAATTCTTGTAAAATATTAGCGAATTTAGAACAGCGGTGCGCTACGGAAAAATGACATTTAATTGTTTTGGCTCAAAAAGCACATCACATGCTGTCCCGCACGAGGGGCAAAGTCTTGTATTCACTATAAAACAAAAGCCAAATAAATTACAATTAATCAGTACCGTGCATTTCTAAAGTTGGCATTTTTCGAGTGCAATTTGGCGTCTTTGACACGTTCTCATTGCCGATGCTTTCGGTACGACCGGCCCTGCCCAAATCTTCAAAAGGCCATAAGGATTTCTTGTTACACAGAATATGAATTCACATTCCTAAATTTTATGTCACCATGGCTTCGAATTTGGAAGTTTTTGGATTCTAATGGCTTTCAAATACGAAATTCTAGGTACAAACCCGTTATACTTTATAGCGAGCTTAAATCTTTAAGGTTCTAGTTATGTAAACTTCATGTCTGATTTAGATTCGCTTAACAAAAACGGTTCCATTAGCTTTTCAAAAAAATGTGCTTAAAAATCGGTCTCCTCAAAAACACCGAAATGCTTCCGATAGAGGATTTATGTAATTTTAAATTTGTATCAGAAGCAACGAAACATACCTAGTAGGTACCTACCTATAATATATTTATTTAGTAGTAAAAATATCATCATTTTGGATATAGTTTATTACTTCAACGGCGCATCTGTTGATGACTAATGGCCTTATCTGTATGACGGACACGCATGTTGGAAATATTTTGGTAAAAAAAGTAGACATAATGTTGCAATGCATATATAAGTACGGCGCTGGGGTTTTAATGTAATCATACCTTCGATCTATTACCTTTTTGAGTTTTTACTGGTACGTTACCCCATATCAAAATTCAAAAGTCGGATTCTAACATGACGGTGATACAAAATTACGGAAACGTATGCGTAATAATCAAACACAAATATTTATAATCACCCTTTAAATACATGTCGTGTAAATTTGCGCCCTTTTCGAATGGGAAACACGACCCTGATCTGACGCCTTAAGGCATATTGAACTCTAAATTGTACATATAACAATAAGAAATCCACTCACCGTGTTTTCCGTAGGGTTTTCTTTTAATGTCCCTTCACCAAAGTGTTCATACCTATCTGAAAAAGCACTAGATCAAACAGCCACATTCGTATAGTTTCCCGGCAAAAATGCGACTGCACAGGTACCGTAATCGTCTTTCGATTTTGAGTGAATCACCTTATACCTGGTAACCTTCAACAAGTGTGGCCAAATTCGGTTTCTTATCTATACCGAGTTGTAGATTTGTTTACAAATTATCGCGCCTTTCAAAATTAAACAATAAAACCGTATGTAACGGAATTATATCCTGCCCGTTATTTATTGCCCTTACGTATAACAAAATTAAATAGGAATTGATGTCCTTTTTCAAATTCTTTGTGTGCTACATTTTTACCCTAGGACAAATCTTATAGAAAGGAACTTATACGATTCCTCCAATCAAAAAATGTTTAACATTTTCCAAATTGTCTGTGCGGTGGTCGATGATTAATGTAGGTAATTTGGTAAAACATTTTTTGATTGCAATTTCAATTTCTTTCTGTATTTTATTGTCCTTTTGAGGGACGAATCGTGAAGTTTAATTTTTATTTTTGTTGAACATTAATTAAACACTTAGTGGTACGATTTTGTTTCACTAGGTATGTATGTAGGGGCGCGTTTTAATTTTTATTTATTTATTTATTATCCCTCTCTTGTTCTGGGCCCTCAACAGGCTTGCGCCCAATTACAGAGTAATTTTTTTTTATTTATAAAGTGGTGTGGTGGTAACCGAAAATACGGAAAATAATATGCTTACTTATTTTCCATGTCACACTTCCTGCTTGTACTGTGAACCCAAATTCCATACAAATATCCAAAATAAAACCTAAAACATTATAGTGATGGTACGGTATCTCCCCCCCCCCCCCCCGGATCTAATTCTAAATCATAGTACCTATTTATCTTGAAGTTGAAGTAAAATCTACCGCCCTCGGCAAAAATCGACCCCGAAAGAAAATTGTTCCTTTACCTGCGAATTTTTCTTGAGCGAGTTTTGGTAAACCTTCAAACCTCTCTTAAATTTACCTATTCCGATAGCGGCTCCAGCGATTCGACTTTTTAAAATTTAAATGGGAGCGAGTTTTCATGAGAACTTTTTTTTTAGTTTCTCTTTATTATAGTAATCTTTCCATTGTTTAATCAATTGATCATTAGACCTCTTTCATTATCGTTTGTGATTATTGCGCTCCTTTCCTTCATTTTCGAAAACGGAAGAGAGAAAGTTCAATAAACGAACTATTATCTATAGTTACTTCGCTTTTTGAATATTATAAACTCTAAACAAACTTATATAGGTAGGTACCAAACACAGCGACGAGTGGAAACTACACAAAATTTAACCCCTGTACCAAGTTAAATTTTAAAGGTTTCTTTAATGCTAAATTGTACCTTTTACAATATTTGCAACAGAAATTAGCGCCAAACATTTTGAAAAGGTAATTTGTGCTTCCCTCCCCACGTGTTTCGAATTTTAATTGAAGGTAAATGAATAATAATGCGATTTGAAAAGTGGGAGATCATCCTAGAAGCACCTTCCAGTTGGAGGTCATCCATCCTAGACAAAATAAGCCCGCCCTATTTTACATGGTAAACTAGATGAACTTTGGTGATGGGTTAAGTTTGCAACATAATGTGTACAAGTAGCATATGGGCAACCGCAATGTTGGCCTAGAAGGCGGTAAACGGGCTTCACGTTCGCCAATTTTGATAGTGTATAAAGGATGCACTTCGCTATACATAAAATAGAATTGCGGTAGCACATGCTTGGGCAAAAATTAAAAGCAATTTAAGTGTGGTGGTGTCAGTAAATGAACTAAAGGAACTTTCCATCATTGATGATTTCAAGTTTTCCCGACTGCAGTTGCCGATGTCATGTCATATTCTGTCTGCGCTGTTATTCGCCATGCTATAGTACGCGACCTGTACTCTAATATCCTGAGCAAAAGTGAAATTGTGATAAAGAAAACTGTTGATAACATCAGATAATATTTACTTTCAATTTTGTGCAGCTAATGTTAAAATTAATCAAGGTGAAAAGTCCGCAAAAGGGATTTCCCATACATTAAATCCACATTTCCTGAACACCCCTTTAAAATCGAGTTTATGCTAGTGCTCGTTTCTTTGCCAACATTTTGCACTGACCAGAAGCTTTATCAACCGACCGAAATTTGTGATTGAAATCACCTATCAACCACACTGTCTTGAACCAACCCTGTAACTGTAAGAACCAAGTTTCCACATCCAAGGCGAAGTCGCCCAGACAAAGTTCGTTCTGAAAATGTATTATTTTTTAAAACCTAAATCGACAGCTTTACCATCAATTGGATTGCAACATTGATCCCGTTGAATTCAGGGACACCCTCCCTCCGTGAACCAAAATTATGACCGGGTAAAAATATACCACATTGTACATTTATTGGGTACTTTGCATGTAATTTTCAAAATTATGCTAAAAAAATAATTGTTTTATTGTTATTATATTGAATTTTTTTAATGCCATACCTAATAATCCCATTACATTTTTTTAACGCACAAAATAAAAATATTGCAACAGAATAAAAAAACTGAAAAAAGAAATTATAATTTTTTTTCAAATTGTTATTTTTATAAAGCGAATTTTAGCAAGGGAATAAATTCCTATGATGTTCTAGATGGGATATTCATAGGAATTTATTCCCATGCCAAAATTCGCTTTATAAAAATAATGTAATTTGAAAAAAAATTATAATTTATTTTTTCAGTTTTTTTATTCTGTTGTTCTAGATGGGATATTAAAATAAAATAATTCCTTACTTTTAATCTGTTTATATTGTCCTCACAAACTGTGGTCATCTTTTCTAGAACATACTGTACATTATCACTTCACTAATACTTAATATTAAATTAAATACCAACATGACTAAATATTCCTCGTTATAGTGGACGTTTGCTATAAACATTATACATTAATTATAACACACACGTGCACCTTTTTTTTCTTAAGAAGAAACAATGATAAGTTGGTAGAAAAATATGTAAAATGTGCTGAAAAAACCACCGTTATTCTTTTCAATATTAATTCTATTCTAATATTTTTTTCCTATTCGAAAATCATATATTTATATAATACATAAAGCATAATTTACAATGACAAACTAACTCACAAACATTTACAAATACACAAAAAAATGCGTTAAGTCTTAGGAATAAAACGCTTTCCTAACGGTAAATTTTTGAAAAAACTCAATTTGGTCCGTCGAAATACGGGGGGAGTGTGACAGTCGCCCCATATAAAACCAAAAAGGGAAAATTCGAGAGATTTTAGAATTCGATTTTTAGTAAAGTTAGAATGGTGATCACAAATTTCAGTGCTTTAGACCCTGTCTAGATTACAGAATTACGAAAAGAATGTCAAGCCTAATTAAATTCTCCTATGGTTTAATTCGTGACAACCCCATCTCTTCTGCACCAACTTTAGGGGTGACTTTCTTCGAGTGAGCACCAAATTTACTTTAGAGAAAATATATTTAGGAATGAGAATTCGAGATGCCCCATTGTCACAAATTAGCAGAAGCCGTATAAAAGCAATCCCTAGTCCGGCACTTCCCTGTACGGTATCTCGGAGGTTACATTGAAACCTTCGAAGTAATGGGTTAAGAATTCGAAGGTGGGTCTATTTTCGGGTCGCGCGTCCCAACAGCTCAACATATATTGGTAAATTTCGTCAGGTATACAGTGTGAGGTAGGTTTAGGCATTCTGTAGCCCTTTTCGACTTGCTCGATTACTTCGCGTCCGTGCATTCCCGGATAGGGTACCTGGCCGTAGGTGAACAGCTCCATGAGTAGTATTCCGTACGACCACACGTCCGACTTAATCGAGAATTTGCCATAGATTATCGCCTCGGGCGCCGTCCACTTTACGGGAAACCGAGATCCTTGCTTCGGGCAGTATTCGTTATCTTCGATTACTCGTGCCAAACCGAAGTCGCATATTTTCGCAATGTTGTTCTCGCCGATTAGGACGTTTCGAGCTGCCAAATCCCTGTGGATTAGCTGTTTCGATTCTAAGTACTCCATGCCGGAGGCCACTTGTGACGCTATGTATATCAGATCTTCGAATTCCAACGTTTTTCCTTCCTCCTTTCGGAGGAAGTCTAACAGGCTACCTTTGGACATGTATTCTTGAACTATATAGATCGGTTCCTCTTTACTGCAGACCGCGTAAAGTGCAACTAAGCGCTTATGCCTAAACTTCTTCATAATGGCCGCCTCTTGGAGGAATGCCTGGGTTGACATTGTACCTTCGCGTAGCGTCTTCACGGCAACGTCGATACTATTCCTCCACTTGCCGTAGTACACTTCACCGAAATTGCCGCGCCCCAATCGCCGAATTAGGTGAATCTCTTCTCTAGGTATTTCCCATTTATCCCTAAATGTGGGACCCAAATCCCACATTTGAGGCTGAGGCTTCGTGCATGGCCTAGACAGCACGTGGCACAAACCCCATGCATTTTCTGTAATAAAATTCATTCATATCTATCTCTTAAAATAACGCCGATACAGGGTGGGTCCGTTAACTTGGCCCCCCCACCGAGAGATTTGATGGTCGTATTATTTTAAAATGAATGCGCTCGTTATGCGCTCATATGCGCCACCGATAATAACTCTTGCGCCATTATCGTTTTTTAGAAATCCTAAAAAACATTTGGGGGGGCCAAGTGAACGTAGCCCCCCCCCGCCCCCCAGTACGTATTTTGTCGCTTGTAACTAGGTCACCTGATACATTTGGTTATGCGCTCAATTGCGCCACTTCAATTAAAGCTTGCGCCATTAAGGTTAAGGCGTGACAAATTTTCAAAAAGTGGGGGGGCCAACTTAACGTTTTTTAAAGTTACTTTTTTTCAACATCTGTTCATACGAAATTGTACTCCCAGGTATGCGCTACAATGCGCCGTAAAAATATATCTTTGCGCCATTCTTGTTTTTTGGTTATCCTTAAATATATTTGGGAGGGGCCAAGTGAACGGAACCCCCCATAACGCATTTTGCTACCGGTATTTGTGCCACGCGATACATCTGGTTATGCGCTCAATTGCGCCACTTGAATTAAAGCTAGCGCCATTACGGTTGTCATAAAAAATTTTTAAAAAGTGGGGGGGGCCAACTTAACGTTTTCAAAAGTTACGTTTTTTAACATGTTTTTTCTACTACATCGTACCTTTCATCATGCGCTAAAATGCGCCGTAAACAAAAATCTTGGCGCCATTATAGTGTTTCAGAAACACTACAGGGTGTTTTTTTTGGGAGCTTTAGTTAAACGATTCTGGGAAAGTAAAATAGGTAGGTTTTTAAAAATTTGTATTTAGGAGTTACTCCGAAGGCCGAATCGATGTAAAATATTTTCAAAATGGACGCACTTCCGGAAATAACTTTTGAAAACGCTAAGTTAGACCCTCCACTTTTTAAAAATTTTTTATGGCTTAACCGTAATGGCGCTAGCTTTAATTCAAGTGGCGCAATTGAGCTCATAACCAGATGTATCAAGTGGCACAAATACCGGTAGCAAAATGCGTTATGGGGGATTCCGTTCACTTGGCCCCCCCCAAATATATTTAAGGATATCCAAAAAACAATAATGGCGCAAAGATATCTTTTTACGGCGCATTTCAGCGCATACCTGAGAGTACAATTTCGTATGAAAAGATGTTAAAAAAAAAGTAACTTTTAAAAACGTTAAGTTGGCCCCCCCCACTTTTTGAAAATTTGTCACGGCTTAACCGTAATGGCGCTAGCTTTAATTCAAGTGGCGCAATTGAGCGCATAACCAAATGTATCAGGTGACCTAGTTACAAGCGACAAAATACGTACTGGAGGGGGCTACGTTCACTTGCCCCCCCTCCCCCAATGTTTTTTTAGGATTTCTAAAAAAACGATAATGGCGCAAGAGTTATTATCGGTGGCGCATATGAGCGCATTCATTTAAAAATAATACGACTATCAAATCTCTCGGTGGGGGGCCAAGTTAACGACCCATAGAGGGTTGAGGGTATGTATCCCATACTTACTTGAGTAAGCTTGAACTAATTCTGATAAGGATAGGAAGGTTTTATTGGTAGATATGTAGTATCCACCATTATCTAAAGGTTTTATTTTGTAATGTTTGACGTGGTAACCCCGCTGCTCCTCCCAGTCTTTAACCGATAACGAATATCCGTGCGGATTGTGTTCTGAAGGTCGGACTAGAAAAGTACCTCGCGGATTTTCCTCGGCTAACAACAATTTATCTGCTTCCTTCCTCGTTACATTTTCAAAAAACCAACTAAAAATAAACAACGTCGATAGGATTGACACGCGTTAGGGGAGCTTACTCTTCGCTCTCCACGCTTAATTCGACCGCCACAAAATTGCCAGGTATCAGCCCTTCCTGTCCCGTTCCTAAGTGCACGACCGTCCACCAATCGCCATCGGAATTGTCGATAACTTGTAATCTATCGCCCTTTCTGAAGGTGACATCGGTGGAATCTCGCGCCGTATAATTGTAGAGGGCAATAACAATTGGATTGCCGCCACCTATCGTAGGTCTTGTTGGCGTTGGTCGCGGACGGATTATGTCTACATGGCTTCTTTGGGGATCAGGTGTATAGCGAGGCTCTAAACCGCCTATTATTTTCACTGAAACAGAGAATAAGAATTAATTAAACGCGAATTTCTTGGAGCGATGCTCGATTTCGAGCAGGTTCATTTTCCTAAATGAGGAAGCAGGGCGTCTAACAGACTGGAAAATCGCAAGCATTTCGCACTTCATGAAGTCATTACATTTTTACACCCTAATTGTTACAAAATATTAGTCATTGGTGTGTTTTCATTTTCAATCCTCGTCCACATTAGGGTCGCACGTGTCAACGATCAAAAATATGGAAATTCCTCACTTTTGAACCGAAACGTTCGAATGCGATCATCAAAACGATTGTAAAATTGTACCGAATTAAGATTTCTTTTACATCAACAATTGAAAGTTAAGTAGCACGTGACAACTGGAATAACTGAATCCTCAATCATCATTACTGTAATAAAATTTATTAAATTTGTTTTATATTTTATAATAGATGCGCGCGTAATACATTCATTACAGTAGATCTTTACGGTATTTAAACCTAAATTGAGCTCTTAACTGAATTAAGGAGAACCAAAAATCAATAAGAATGAATAAGTACAGCTTTCTAAAGCCTTTGTTTGATCTACTTATTTTGGTTTTAAAACTCTCCGGAAATACTAAGCTCTTCATTTTCTAAACTAATATTGCATTTGGAAACAAAGAACATTGTATAAAAAAAGGGGGCGAAATAAATCATTATCTACACATGCAGTTCGCAAAAAAGGGCGTTTTTGCAGAAATAGTGAGCAACATAGTACATTTTTAGTTTTTGGCCATCGAATTCGTGAGACACTCGCGTGAAATTAGCAACGCTAAATATGCAAAAATCTGCAACTTATGTATTTACGGACCCAATGTAAACAAAATTGCGAGAAAACCCCCACACGTCGTCCGTTTTTAATTATAGAAGGAGAGGAAGTTGAGATATTCAAGGTAAAGTTGTTCCATTAGGGGTTGGCGTGGATTAGTTTTTCGATCATTATAAGGGGGATAAATAAAGTGGGTTAGATGAAGGATGTGCAATTAATTTTTTAACTAAATTCTGACTTAATGAGAAAAATCAATTTTGTAACAACCCCCCATCCCCATCTACCTGTATATAATCTTTTGGCCTTATTAAAGTCACTAAATATAGAAAGTACCGCAATCCATTGGGCTCGTGTGTTAGAGAGAGAACGCATGATTTTTGCCCAAAAATGGCGGAAGTTACCAGATTCTAGTAACTTTAATGTTAGGGATTGTTCCACCTGTTTGGAGATATCTGTATATATTTTTATAAAACATGACAGTACTATGAAGTTAGGTTATAAAAAATTACAGCTATTCAGATTTTATTTGTCAATTTTTTTAAGTTGGCAGCAAATTTGCCCAAAAATGGCGGATGATTGCGGTACTTTCTATATCTAGTGACTTTAGGCCTTATATGCGAAAAGCGCCCTCTGTTCGTCTAAATCAGGAAGACCGAACGTTCTAACGAAGCGTGGAGTATGGCTCACTGCGACTCGGCATCAGGAAGGCTGCACCTCGAACCAGAGCCAACACCTTCACCGAGTTTCTCGTCGAAAATAGAAGACGGACAGTGCCGTTTTTAAGTTTTTCGGGGCCCTGGGCCATTCGTTCGTGGAGGCCCTCCTTACCCTCAATAAAAAGGCACAATGTTTGCATTTTATGACGAAAATGTCCGGACTTTTATTTTATTGAACTGCAAAGTCAATTTTATCTGCTGTATAAGCAAAAATGCCACAAGACCTTGTAGTTCAGGCATTATTCCTTTCAATAAAAAAAAAAATGTCTTGCCCATGGGCAAAACCTCAGTGTAATACCCACTTTAGGCTTTTTATCACTTATTAGGACTTTTTAACTTTCTAAATGGTAACCTTATATACACGATCTGCAGGATTTTAGAATTTCCGGCATCCCTTAGTGTATGCATTAATTTTGTTTAAATCTGCATTTACTTTAAGGCGGCAGATTTTGCACAACAATTTTTTCATTCACACAAACTTTTGGGGGGCCCCTCAGGACATGTAGAATCCATAATTTCAAACAGTTCCAAGATTGGGCTACTAGATCGAAAGTTACAGCCCTTTGAATTTTCTTTCGAAATTGGTCCATAACTTTTGATTGAGAAGTCGGATCGAAAAAGTACGAATTGTTTTGGATTCTACGCACCAAAATTAATAAGAAAAAGTGTTTTCCCGAGAAATTTTGGTGCAGTCGATTTTTGGATTTTTTTGAGCCCCGAAAAAAAATTGTCTCAGATCGACCCGGAAAAAAAATTTTCTTATAGAATGTGGCCTGTAGAATCCATAATTTCAAACAGTTCCAAGATTGGGCTACTAGATCAAAAGTTACAGCCCTTTGAATACCTTGGTAGAACGAAGAAATAAAACAAACAACGAAACAAATTACAGGATCTACAAAGAACAAAGAAAAGCGGCGAAAGAAAGTATAGCGGCAGCGAAACAGAGAACATGGCAAGAATTCGGAGAGAAATTAAAAAAACACAGTAAAGGCAACCAAGAACTGTTTTATAAGGTGTTAAAGAATCTCAGAAAAGGGAAAGCAACACACACTTCAATACAAGCTGACGGAGAAATTATCAAAAATGAGGAAAAAGTAATGGAAAGATGGAGAAATTATTTTAAAAGCTTACTAGAAAATACACAAGAAGCAAATATAATTCGAGAAAGAGATAGAAATCAAGAAGAAATAATTAGCACAGAAGAAGATGCTATATCAATACAGGAAGTTGTAGAAACGCTGAAAGAACTTAAAAATAATAAATCACCTGGAAATGACAAAATTACAGGAGAAATGTTGAAATATGTGGGGGCAGCAGGGACAGAATTACTACAGGCAATCTACAATAAAGCGTGGGAGGACTAGACGGAGTATTGGCCGACACCGTCGCAACAGTGGACACACAAGGGAAGAGTGTCGCAAATGGAAGAGGCAGGAATCCACCACCTTTACCACACCCACAACTACAACGCCAGCACCTCATTTGCCACACCAAAAATGCGCTTGAGTCTAGTGATAGCACACCAAAAATTGTTTTTGACTTGTTTGAAACGTTTCAAAATTACATAATAAAAGCAAAGGTGCACTAGCAAAATTAAGTGGCCCCATTCTGAGTACCACGACATACAATTATCGCCGACTGTAGAAAGGAGTGGTGGGACAAAGAGTGTACGGAAGAGAGAAATAGATATGGCGAAATGGTAAATAAAGAAACAAGAGGGGGAAATTCAAGAGAAAGAGGCGAGGGAACAAAAAAAAGTACAAAAGAAAATGTAAAGAATATAAATTGTGCACACCTCTTGTGCAAATAAAAGGCATTTTTTTAAACTGAAATAGCTTTTGTTTTCACATCACCAATGGATATATTTCTTGCAAACGTCTCAATCGCCCTTTGTGAGTACCCTCTTTCGACAATCCGTTCTTGAGGTATAAGGGAATATACCCGATCACGATAAGAGGTCGAGGAGGAGTAGGGCTATGGTTGGCAGAGATTAATTCCTTTCGTTAAGACCTTTCATTAGAGTACCATGAAGGATAATAAAACTAGCCCCCCCCCCCCCAACGTTGATAAGAGGACAGAAAGAAGGGCAGTAGTTGGTATAAAACGGTTCCTTTCGTTGAGACCTTCAGTTAGAATAAATGAGAGATAAAATTAATTTTTCCCCCCCCCCCCCCGCAAAAGTTCTAGTTTGTAAAAATCAATTTATTTCGCCTTCAAGGTATAGGCTACCTACTGCAAAAAATTGCAGGACTCTCGGACTATTCCCTTACAAGTAGTTCAAAACGGTAAAAGTGGGTCCGGACGGACGGACGAACGGACAAAACGAAAACAATACCCATTCTTAAAAAATGCGCTAAAAATAGAAGTAGGAGGGAAATACAATTAGAAGAATGGAAACAACATTTTGCCAAGTTAGTGCACGAAAAGCAGAAGAAAGAGAAGGTTATGGAAGGGGTAGGAAGAGAGGAGGTTTAAGGAGGCGATCGAGCAGCAATTAAAAAGACTAAAGAAATGGAAAGCGACAGAGAGAGAGACGAAATAGGTAATGAGGCCTTGATTTTCGCAACAGATAGGCTCAAGGGAGGGATGAGAAATCAAGTAAACAATGCATTGAAAGCCCCCCCCCCCCTCTTCAATACCCGAAGAATGGAAAGAAGGGGTAATTGTGCGATCTTCAAAAGAAGGAATAAAGTTTATGAGGGAAATTATACGAGAAGTACTATATACGTATACTATGATACTGAACGAAGAACTAGAAAGATAAATGATATTGAAGGAAACATGAATGGGCTTCGGAAAAGGGAGGAGAACGATCGACTGTCCTTTTTTCAAAAACGCGCTAAAACGGGCCAAAAGGAGATAGCGTTTTTGATGGATCTAAGGGCAGTGTTTGACAGAGTGGAAAGGGAAAAAGTATGGAAGATCGGAATATGGACGAGAAGTTAAAGCTAGAATCAAGGAAGTAAAATTGAGGGTAAGAATAGAAGGGAAGGAATCTGAAGAGTTGCGGACATGTAAAGGACTAACACATGGATGCCCACTTAGCCCAACCTTATTTAATCTCTACTTAAGAGAAATGGAAAAAGTATTAAGGCAGGGTCAAGATGGAGGGATCGTAGAAGGCAGATATATGGTCTCTTCAATAAGCACACATCATGGGCAACAGAGAATAGATGAAGAAAATTACGGGAAGAATGGAGAGGTATTGGGAATGGAGTAAAATGTAGATAAGTCGAAGATGAGATTTGAGAAGGGGAGTGGAAGGAAAACGGAGGAAGGAAAGAATAGAAAAGTTAAAAGAAATTACATATTTAGAGTACCAAATGCAAAGAATTATTATATTATTATAAGTTTGTATTTTCATTTTGTTTATTCTTTGAAATTTCCTGCAGTAGGCTTTGTTGTTGGAAATAAATTATTATTATTATTATTAATAGAAACAATGGGGCAAATGCGCAAATAAGAGAATTAAGGGGGGGGGGGTCGATGAGGCAGGTGTGGGGAATTGAAGAGAGGGGTTCCAAGAATGATTTTAGAATAAGAAAGTACCTGTTCGATGCAATGGTGAGAGGGGTGCTTATGTACGGAACGGAGATGTGGGGGCGGAAGGAATGGGAGGAACTGGAAGAAGTACAAAGAATGGGTTATGGGTATTAGGATTAAACGAAGGGCACAAATTGTTTATTAGAGGAAGAAAAAAAAAGTGGAAAAGATAAGGATAGCGTCGGGGCGCAGGGCGATAAGACTGCAGGAAAGGGGCGATAGGATTCAGATGCGGAAATGAAGAGAGAGGGAAAGAGAAATGGAGACAAGAAGAAGAAAGAAAATGTAGAGTATGCAGAGGAAAAAGAGGACACATGTCATGTAACTGTACGGAGGTGGCAATGACGGGGAGAAGTAGGAGTGAGATTCTGGATAAGGGGGGGGGGGGGGTAAGAAATTGATGACGGGGGGGTTATAGAAAAGAAGGAAAATTTTTGAGTTTTATTTTGATATAATTTACATTATTAAAGTTTTGCCAAGCTGACCTAATTTAATAATAATAATAATTATTATTATTAAATTTGTTTTCGCAGCCAATCTTTAAGATGATACTTAAATGGAACAACAGATAAGTGCTTGAGGAGTGGTGGAATGGAATTATAAACCTTAGCTACATTGTATGAGAATGATCTATTGAAATACGATGTTTTATGGTCATGAATTGTTGCATTAAAATTGGCCCACCTTCATATAGAAAGACCATTTAGTCGGAATTTTGTCGAAACATTTATTTTTTAGTTCCATGGAGGGTACACATTTTTGTTGGGGCACCTTGTACTCATTTGTTTCACAGGTACCAAATCTTTAGCACTTCATTTAAACCAAAACTTACATTAATGTTCCCAACGCCATACCTCAAGTATGATCCATAGTGCCACAAATTCCATACCACTAACGTTTCAACCCTCACCTCAGTGTATCTATATTTTTGAATCAATTCGATTCGTATTTGGCTCAAATTTGCACTGAACTGGAACTTCTCGCTGCTAACTTGATCTGAGAACTGAGTAACGATGCATCACTCATCGATTATCATTGTGTATTCTTATCGCATATATTTATTTATGGCAACGATATCGTCGATATCTTATCAAAAAGTCACCATCTTATAAGTACGTGCACCTAGTTTTTTTTACATTGACATTCACGCTTAATTTATGTTGCCAATCATTTTTGTAGAAAAAAACCTACGCACTCTCAAAATTAATAGCTTTATCGATAAACCGGCACCGGCATGCTGTTCAACCGTTATTATTTTATTTACGATGCCTTACTCGATGCAATTTCTATAAAAAGCAACCCACCTCCTTTTCCAGATCGTTCCATTATACCGTATACCAAAATGAAGATAAATAAACACTCGATTATTTAGGACCCCGCTGCTGAATAAACAAACAGATACAGTTAACAAACGCGTGAACCGAGCCGTTAGATTGGCATTTTGCAAGGGACGTCCCAAATAAAATTGTTGCACTTCCTGCGCGCCCGATTGCTTTTTTCTTCTTCTCTTCCTCAGAGGTGGAGCGACCACCCTTTGGGAAACATTAGGATGGATACGTGATGGGTTTTCAGAAAATGGCCTATTTCGCTTTGATTGTTTCAACTATTTTTAACATCGTTTACCGCAATTATTATTATCCAAAGTTGCGTAATTCAAGTTCGCGTTGTTTTATCGATTGTTTTTCGCACTTAATTGATTGCATCGGTTTTTGTTGACTCGAGACGTGAACAATTCGATTAGTTCTAGTTTTATGTTTACAACGTTTGTTATTGATTTTGTACGCATCGCCAATTTGTTATTTTGTGATGCTTAAATTCAGATTCCCTTTCAAAAAGTTCACGTATCGCAATCATTCTCTTTCTAACAGTGAAAACCGAGGTGAAAACTTTCTCGAGTAGAAAAATAAATTTACCGGCCGCATTTTTGACATTTCCAAATGTCTATAATGACGCCTGTCATCACTGACAGATTGACATTAACCAAAAGTTGATATGTCGATATCTACCATTTATGGTTTTTAAGTTATTTTGACCATGTTCTTACTATTCCATGAGATAGAGAATCGAAATGGGCATATTTTGACAATACATGTTCCTATAGCTATCTTTAACAGTTTCTGACTTATTCCCATTTTATTGAATTGACACTATTTTTTTCGGATTTTCTTTTTAGTAGTCGGCCATGATTCTATAACAATTGAATTTTAAACAAATCTAGTGACACTAATCCGTCACCTACTGTTATAGGTTAACATAGTTTTTCAAAAATCGAAAAACGACTCGCAGTGGTTTCACCTATTTTGGAATTTAATTGTTATTTATGGTGAAATGGGCAGAATCGCGGCGCGTGCTTTCCGTACATTCATTCGAAAACTGGAACGAAATTGTATGCATTTTGGAAATTTTGTACCCCTTAATGCACTACAAACCGTTGAAGCACAAGTGATACAAAGCTCTACAAGAGAATATTTAAGAAAATGAATTGAATTGGAAATGCAAGATTAACAAAATAAATTCAATGCAAAATATAAAAAACTTCGTTGAAACATTTTTGGTATGGAATTTTTGCTAGAACAGATATCGCATTACCTCTCTTAATTTCCAGACTTATACGTTATTTAAGAAATTCAGTTGAACGACTGTTTAGATTTTTCAAAAATTTTCCGTCCTATATCCTTAATAAATGAGTTATTTATTAATGAATTATTTAGACCTGAACTAGAATCAATAAGAATCCATTCCTTGATTTGTTTAAAATTCGATTGTTATAAAATCATGGCCAACTACTAAAAAGAAAATGCGAAAAAAAAATGGCATCAATTCCGAGATCAATTCAATGAAATGGGAATAAATCAGAAACTGTTAAAGATAGCTATAGACATGTAATATCAAAATATGCCAATTTCGATTCTCTATCTCATGCAATATTAAGAACATGGCCATTCCATTTAAAAAACTGAGTTTATAGACTTGAAGTTTCTTAAATTTGGATCTCCATAGGTGTGGTTGTACGCAACTTAACTTTTTTTAAGTACACTAAAAGAAAGCCCTATTCATTCTCTATGCACTGATAAAAATGAGTTGCCACGACTATAACCTTTTTCAAGTAATCAATTATCAAGGTACCATCTGCATCGGTCATTTTTTTTCTTAAAGTCAAAATAACTTAAAAACCATAAATGGCAGATATGGGTACCAAAAGAACTGAAATTTCACGTAGAATCCAAAAATGCATTAAAAAATAGGGGCTGCCATTTAAAATAACGAAGTTACTATCTACTTCCGGCGTTTCCGGAAGTGCGGACATTTTGAAAATATTTTACATAGATTCGGCCTTCAGAGTAACTCCTAAATACAAATTTTCAAAAAGCTACGTATTTTACTTTCCCAGAAACGTTTAACTAAAGCTCCCAAAAAAACACCCTGTATAACAAGAGCGCGAAGTTCAATTTCGCGCATTGAGACTGAAGGTATTTTGACGAGGAAAATAATTGTATTTCCGCTTTTTATTTAAAAAAGTCATTTTACTATTACCTGGAATGTATGTATTGTGATTCTAAAATCTAAGGTAGGTAGGTACTTATTTTGTGAAGCAACACAGCAGAAATTTACATGCGTAATGTACACGAATTTTAAACGCATCCGAAAAAATTCTTATTCACACAATTACGTCCTCCGTCTAATGTTCATAAAATTGCCGCAAATTATACACTCGGAAATTACAATAACCGTTCACTTGCACATAGGAAATTAGCACGAGTTAAAAAAATTTCCTTCGTTTTTAGAGGCTTTCATTGAAGCTACAAGCTCACGGTCGAGAGACTCTCCCTGGAGAGGTCATTAATTCAACGATTACCGATTAATGGGGCCTCGTTGGAAAAATCTAAATTACGTTATTAAATCTCGCAAAGAGGAAAAGTAGCATTAGAAGAATCAGTTAGGTAATAATTTGTACTGGTTTTCGCCGTATAATTATGACAAATGCAATATCGGTTATTGATTTCAAAGTTAGTAGTAGAATTAAATTGCAATTTATCCGATTGTACCATCCCTTAGTTTAACTTGTTCAGAAAAATTCATTTATTGTAACAGGTTAAATGCTCCTTTTTTTTTAAATTATTACATGTTCTGCCAGGTTCATAATTTAAAATAAAGGAGCATTTAATTCGGGAATAGGGCACTTAATTAGCACCTAATTATGCAATATGTTTGATTGTGTTCTGCTGACCTTGCTCTGCTAGGTTAATGGGCATCATCTGATACCATACCCAATGTGTTAAACCAACCCCACTAACTGTAAGAACTCCAGATCTCCACGTCCGTGGAGAAGTCTTCCATATAAGGTTCGTTATGCAATTCTATTCTTTTTTTAAACCCAAATCGACAGCTTTGCGATCAATTGGATAAAGGAAACTATTGACCTATTATTATTACCATTAAGCTGTAAACGAGGGATCGTAAAGTTGTTTGAAAACTTATCTAGAAAATTATTTAAATATTTTTGTATCCTCAGCGTAGAAATCTCCTTCTGACCGATCTTCCCCGAATTTTTATTTTTCGTGGAATCCAAGCGAATTCCAATTAAATCTCAGATTAAAGGGATCGAACTCAGTGGGTTTCCACTATTTATTGAGTCAACGTAAACGAAATTAAGTCGAGTTTGAGTACCCGTTATTAACGCACCCCCAAAAGCCACAAAATTGGCATTTCTTCCTCAAACTCAAATATGGCATATTTCTTGCATATTATAGTGGGTAGACGTATACGTTGTCTCACGAATCGCATTGGCATAAAATACTTTCAAAACCAAATCGTCGTTGGTGTAGGAAGGCAAGACAATAACAAACTTATTAACAATAAACTCACCGTCATTTCCAGGGGTTTTAAGTCCGGTATAAATACTGCGAGGTTCCACTTCCTGTCTTTTACTACAGCACTGGTTACCCATGGTGGCGACCTTTTGGGGGTCACTACGAATCTATTGTCGCCAGGTTCATCTGCAACAAAAAAACCGCCCACGATTACACAGACCGTCGAAAAGGATGTCTGACTGATTATGTCATATAAGCGTCGTAATTACGCGAGCAAAGGTAACAATTAGCTTTCGTTCAATAAACAGTTAAATGACGAGGCGGTCTTACTTATTTTACAATGGGTCTAATTGTTACGTAGAAAAAAGAGAAATAAATTACAAACATTTAATTAGATGATGATTAAGAACTGTAAACAAGCTTTCACAAAAAGTACAATTTGATTTGAGGTTAACCAATTAGTAAAAATTGTTTATCGGATCGTGAGCGTACAGGCAATTTATTTGTACCTCTGACGATGATGCTATGTAATTCCATGGAAAAATTTTAATTAAACGCCGTCATCGGATGAAAATGAAAAAAAAAATTAATCGATATTTACGTGCACCTAACGTAATGAATCAGGCAAATTTACTTGTACAATGCGCAATTGTGAAAGGTATAACGAGCGGGAATACGTGAGCGCCTTTTGTAGGAAAATAAAGGTGTCGTGTCCCAAATTTTAATGTCGTAAGTGACAACTGATAAGATAAGGAATTGTTTACTTTTTTTTCAAAACACTCTCACAGGTATCAAAGTTGCGTGAACCACTTTAAAATTTTAAATAGGCATCAGCGTGGAGTACCACAAGGTGCTATTATTGGTCCTTTACTGTTTTTTTTAAGTATCCTTGTCTATCTCCTTTAAAAAATCTTAACGTCATTATGCACTTTATTATTGTTAGATTTATAAATAATACAAAATTGCGAACTCATACCAAAGATAATGACGCGCACAGACCGATATTATATTCACATGTTATAGATAAGCTTCAATTATTTAGATTCGGTGCGATAACAATCAGAGGATGCACTTTCATTTTTTTTAGATAGATCAAAGGCGGAAGTCGTATGACGCGCGCAGTATCGCCAGAATTCCCCGTTATATCAAAATGTGTGACCACAATAAAGATATGTGCTGGCAAAACATACACGTAAACGCATCAATGGCGCCGAAACAGAATTCACTAAATTTTTACCATTCCGGTTTATATTACATTATGTGTCAGTGGGCCGGTATTTCGATCTAAACACCAAAAATAATGGGACACCCTGTATATGAGTATATTTTCATTTAGTAAGTAAATCTGGGGGATTATTTACGAAATAAACACAGTTACTTCGTTTCATTTGCAGTAGTATTTCAGTGTTAGTTTTTCCTTTTAGAATTGTTTGTAATTAGGTAGTTTTTGTATTACTTTTTGTTTAAATTTGATCGCTTCCTAAATATATAATTTAGATAGGGCGTTAGAATCTGGTTAAGTTTGCGTACTTTATAAAATGTTACCTCTGGTCGTTTGTGATAAGAAGTTTTATTGTTAGGCGAAATCTAATTAACGCACGTGCTTTGGTGCTGAGAACGAAACCGCAGCTGTTGCGAAGAATTACGCGTATCTTGTGGAGGAGTGGGAACGTTTTTAGCGCATTTGTTAAAAAATGTTTAAAGAAAATACTAGAAACAACTAACCTAATATCGTAAACCTTGCACGACCGGAATATGTAGACTTCTAAGAAAAAAACTGTGACCTAAGATTTTTTAATTGTCGATCGCCTGCGTGCGGGGTAATATGTCCAAACAAGCTTTGTAAGCTTTTCTTTCTCCCAGGAAAAACAATAGTGCGGATGCGCACAGAATTAATTTCTGGCACCCGTGCGTGGAATGCATTTGGAAATCGCAAACTTTAGGTCAAATTCAAAAAAGAACGACCTCAAGAGGAAAAAGCATAAAGGCACTAAAAATACACACGTAGGGAGAGTGGGAGGGGCTAAAATCAAAGGAGGAACACGTGGACATCGGAAACAGACAGTGGACTAGGTTGAGAGTGATTTTCAAATCTATATTTCTTAAAATTTAGAAATTTAAATGCAGAAATTTGAAATTTTCGGTAACGGAACGGGAACTTTAACGAAAAAGTGCAGAATAGTCTAGGCGATAAGGACATCTAACTGGACATTTTGAGGTGGAAAAGAAAAAAATGATGGAATATGTTCAGTTAGGTGTCAGAAACAACATATTAAAAATCCCACCCTCCAGACAATGTGCTAAAGGCTCCAGACACCCCCACCATCCCCCAAAAACCGTGTTTTCGCTCTTTTTGGCCGATATCTCGCGATCTATGAGGCCTGTAGAAAAAGAAAAAGTGTTTTCCCGAGAAATTTTGGCGTAGTCGATTTTTGGTAAAAAAAGGAAGGTTATTCACTGCCTTTTTTTGAGCCCCGAAAAAAAAATTGTCTCAGATCGACCCGGAAAAAAAAATTTTCTTATAGAATGTGGCCTGTAGAATCCATAATTTCAAACAGTTCCAAGATTGGGCTACTAGTTCAAAAGTTACAGCCCTTTCAATTTTTTTTCAAAATTGGTTTCTAGTCTATAACTTTTGATTGAGAAGTCTAATCGAAAAAGTACGAATTGTTTTGGATTCTACGCACCAAAATTAATAAGAAAAGTGTTTTCCCGAGAAATTTTGGTGTAGTCGATTTTTGGTAAAAAAGGAAGGTTATACACTGCCTTTTTTTGAGCCGCGAAAAAAAAATTGTCTCAGATCGATCCGGAAAAAAAATTTTCTTATAGAATGTGGCCTGTAGAATCCATAATTTCAAACAGTTCCAAGATTGGGCTACTAATTCAAAAGTTACAGCCCTTTGAATTTTTTTTCAAATTGGTTTCTAGTCTATAACTTTTGATTGAGAAGTCTGATCGAAAAAGTACGAATTGATTTGGATAAGTATAAGGGTAATGATTACGTTGAGATATAAATGAATGTGTGAGTATTTTAATATGAAAATACTGTTTTTACGTGAATAAATGGTACATAGAAATATTTTGTTTTACAATGAATATTTCCTTACACATGAAAGTTGAAGGTGAAAGGTGACTTTACGCCAACTCTTCAGTTACCTATCTCGTACGAAATTGCACGAAGAGCATTTTCAGCTAAAAATATTTCATCTAGCTCTAAAGGTCGCGATATATTTGCAAAAAACCGCAAAAAAACACGAAAATGGATGATTTTATGAATTTCCTATAGGCTAAGAGGTACACCTAGGCTAACTTCTGAGTATCTACCTTGTATAAAATTTCCCGAGAAATATTTTCAGCTAAAAATATTTCATATAGACCTCATAGATCGCGAGATATCAGCCAAAAAGAGCGAAAACACGGTTTTTGGGGGATGGTGGGGTGGCTGGAGCCTTTTTAGCACAGGGTCTGGAGGGTAGGATTTTTAATATGTTGTTTTTGACACCTAACTGAACATATTCCACCATTTTTTTCTTTTCCACCTCAAAATGTCCAGTTTGCCAATTTCACAGTCTCTATCGCCTAGACTATATAGCGACAGAACAGGAGATTATTATGGGCTGTTTAAAAAATTAAAACAAAATTCCCGTAAGAAAGAAAAACTTATTATTATTATTTTATTTATTTATATAGACAGTTGCCGATAAAAATTTCCAACTTGAGGAAAATAAGGAAGTGGTTACGAAACGATTCCAGATCATGGCTCTGTTTGAAATTCGGATAACAAAGCGTCTAATACAACTCAATTCCCGAGGGAAAAATTGAAGGGAGAGCACAAAGTTAAACAACCCCCGAAACATCCACATTCGACTATGTTGCTCCTTACAGCTATCTGCATATAAATTCGTAAATCTACGGGGATGCGAAGAGATCTAACCTTCACACGTAAAAGCCTATAGACAAGTGCACCTTTTTGTCCTTTTATTCTTGAATTATACCACTCTCGTCTAAAAGGCTATTCAAGATAAAATCGATACCGCCACCTTTTTCTACTTTCCGTATAGGTAAAAATTGCACACGGTACCGGATGAGTTTATAGGTAAGGCCTTTGTTGTAAATGCCACCGCCTCGATATCTAATTACGCTCTTTGAGTATTACTCACGTAGGTGAGTGAGCATACGAAATTAAAAACTCCGCAACGTGTATAGTTATAAATTCTTGGACGTCTAAAACAGACGCCGCCGTCGCCGTCGCGGTTTTTCCGCTTATGCTTCCAATCTGTAAGAAATGTTCGTTTTTATGTAGCGAATAACAACAAACTGTAACAACTTAGATGTTTGGCGAATGGAAATGACGGTTGAAATATGCGTTACATAAGCAAAACGATCACGTGGTTTAAGATCTTTGATGATCACGGATTTGCGTTCCGGTTCGGTGAACACGTAGCCATTACATCTCTTCCACTTAGACGACTCAATAATCCATAATATGAATACGACTAGGAATTGCACTGAACCAAGATTGGAATAGCTGAGATCAGCCCCATTGTTTATGTATTAAACAAATTTCTTTCTATTTGTTTCATGATTGCAATATTGTACAGGGTGTCTCAATTTAGTAACGTGGCAACCTTGCAATAGAAATCATGGTTTAATTTTTTTTTGCAACACATATTCCTGTTATTTTTTAAAATATAGCAAATAGTCGAATAGTCAAATTTTACAATGATTAGTTTGTAAAAAAGACGCGCAACTCGAAAAGAACTGCAAAATAGGAAATGTGTTAAAAACCATTTTTAAATTGCACGGTTGCCATACTCATTTTTTCAAAGATGACTCAGGGGATAGGAGTTACTTATAATCAAATTTAGCTTTTGGTATATTACCCGATTTTCTAGGGCTACACATCATATTTTTTTGAAAAAGCGAGTCATTTTTTTTCAAATATTCAATATTTTATGTGATTATTCGACAGTCTTTTGTGTTCCCTTTAACTTTTCTAAGTGATGCCTTTTGTCTAAACCTCGTAGTTCTTAGGTTATCTAACATTTTTCACAAAAGTACCTACCTATTAATAAATTAATTAATTAATCACATGTTTATACACCGTAGTAGGCCTTGATAATAAAAAGTAAACAACTGTCACAAATTAATTATTTACTGCAAGTGTAGGTACTCCCTATTTCGCA